GAGCTGAATTTTGTGAATGTGTTTTTTTGCTCGTTTGTTATTGTGCTGGATTCTGAGGTGGAGGACGTGCCTCCACAGGTCGAGCTGTGGTCTCGGTGGGGGACTTGCCCCGGCAGCTGCTCTTGAGTCATCCACTGGGACTGGGTGCAGCGTCAGTTTCCCCAGACTGAAATGAACCTCTGCAGGACTGCAGATCTCCAGGATCAGGGTTGAGCTTGAGAGCATTACGAGTCTAAACTCACAGGAGTTCACACGAGCTACTCATGAAGACTTACAGAAAGACACTCTTTCAGTTCACATCAATAATCATGATGATGTAATACGGCCTATTCATGTAAATGTATATTCACAGTGTACATATTGAACCCATTTCTTTCTGTTATGAAAATGACAGCGTGTTGCTGTAAAAGCAGAGCGACTTTTCTCTGAGCTCTTCTCTCTGCTATTGTGTTGGATCATGTCTCTACAGGCCCATCTGCCCTCAGCTCCATTCCACAGAGGGGGCTGGGTGATGGAGTAAAGTAAGGAAAGCACCCTTAAGCCAAAGAGGGGCATCACTGATACTTCAACAAAGAATACAGGCATGCGGAGCTGTAATTATAATAAAAAGACCTCTGAAGACGACACAAAGCAGACTTTGGAAACATAACGGTAAACATGTTGTTGTGCTGATGAGTCACAGCCAGAAGAATGAATGAAAGAACGAATGAATGAATGAATGAATCACAGTCTCAGGGATGCAGTGATATCACCAAAAACTGTGTGTTTGCATGGAGTTCATAAAAAAAACAAGTTTTATTGACAGTTTGTTCACATAAAAGTCTTTCCAGTATTCAGCATTGAATAGAAAACATCAGGCAACGATGAAAGTAACTGTAAAACAAAATAACACAAACATATTGAAGACAAAATTATAGAAATATTAAAGAGATCTATTTTCCTATAAAGTTTCATTCCAATTATTCCAATTACAATACACCTGATGAGTTTAGTAAACCTGAATATTATAGGTGGGTGTGTGTGTGTATATATGTATATATATATATATATATATATATATATATATATATATATATATATATATGGTTTAATTTGAAGAGTAAATAACCTGGTTGCCCTAACTTTTTCATTCATTTAATCTCAAACCGTAAGTTAACAGAACACATTTTAATAAAATCAGGCAGATTTTACAGTTTGAATGTTGTCTTTTAGCATTAATTATAGTAACTAATTAATTATTTCTATTTAATTATTTATAAGCAATATCTTCCCCATTTCCATTTTATAGAAAATGCTATACTTATGCAACAAATCACTCAAGAGGAACTGTGTTATCACGAATAACATCATGTCTGTGGTTCGGTCACAAGCTCGAGCTGTTATGTTAATCGTGATAACACACGACCTTGAGCGTTCTGTTGCTTTTATACAACAGCAAAAGTAAAGTAGCAAACAAAGAAGCTCCAAACTTTGTCTTGTGCTTTAATATCAGCAGTTCTATCCACCAAAAAAACTAGTATCCCTCTGAATTATGGATGAAGACATAAAGCTTTTCAGTATCTGCCAGATGAACCTGGACACGGTTTGTTCCAGTTCGTCTGTAAAGTGTTTCACAGCCTGTCTTCTTCACTGAGGTGTATTGTGTGAATCGCTCCGTCACAGCTGCTGACCGAAAAGTTTGCTTACAAGCAACAACAGGTTCAGAATTGGATGCAAGCCTGCTGACTCACCCATCTTCAGAAATTGGCCATGTATCAAAACTAGTCAAGCTGATCTAATTTAGCTGATGTTACCATCTCCTGTTTTCATATGTGCTAAAGTAGAAACTTAGGCCCAGTCCCATTTCACCCCTCGGCCCTACCACTTAGCCCTTATCCCTCCGTTTTGCGCGTTCATGCCTAGGGGTAGGGTGTCGCCATTCTTGTTGAGATAGAGGGGTAGGGTGAAGTGTTTGGGCTACACGGCCCTCCAAATGGAGGTTTTTCAAAGGCTCCAAACAGAGTGATATGAGAAAAAAAGAAAAACCGTCTAGATGGCTGAACAAGAGACCAAAGAAACCCACAAACATGAATCATTTCTTCATTATAAAATACGATAACCATTGTATTGTGTTAGTTTAATGTCATTTCAATATAATATGGTCGTTTTCTTTATAACATACATTAAAAAATCGCTAGTAGTATATGGTGTCTCAATAGCTAGCTAGCTAATTTTTCCTGTTCCACCTTAAATGGTGCAGAAATTACATTCTGGCACCTCAGGTGTCAAAAATGCTGCACCATTTAAGGTGGAACAGGAAAAGAGCCTGGTGAATATCTGACTTCAGCTTCATATCACTGAAGAATTAGGGGTGGGCGATAATAGATAATTATCATATCACCCTCTTTGAAATCATATGATGCCCTAAATGTAACTAAAGCCCAGCAGTGAGGAGCTGAACTTTACCCTCCTCTGCTGTCACTGCAGACTGGCAGGGTCGCCTACAGAGCAGCGCTAGTAGCTGTTAATGAAGTAATGCTCTTTTTATTTAAGGGGTCCCATTTCACAGGGGAAGATTTCAACCACTACCCTTGTAACTCAGTACCAATGGGCAAGGTGACACTCGCAAAACAAGGGGTAGGGGTAAAATAGAGAAGAAAGAAATAGAAAGAAATGGGATTGGGCCTTGTAGCCAGTGGTCAGCAGAATGATCGAAATTCTGTAAAATTGTGTAAAAAAATTAAAAACAAGAATGTTGTCACAACATCATATCTACAAAATAGTAACTTTATAGAAGTTCATTCATTGTCAAATTTTAAGACAATGTAAAGAACACTGGACATTTTCAAAGTTTATAAATAAGTATAATATAATGTATAATATAAAAGTATAATATGATATAATATAATATAATGCATAAGTATAGCATTTTCTATAAAATGGAAATGGGGAAGATATTGCTTATAAATAATTAAATAGAAATAATTAATTAGTTACTATAATTAATGCTAAAAGACAACATTCAAACTGTAAAATCTGCCTGATTTTATTAAAATGTGTTCTGTTAACTTACGGTTTGAGATTAAATGAATGAAAAAGTTAGGGCAACCAGGTTATTTACTTTAATTTAAAAAAATTAAAACAAGAATGTTGTCACAACATCATATAGTAACTTTATAGAAGTTCATTCATTGTCAAATTTTAAGACAATGTAAAGGACACTGGACATTTTCAAAGTTTATAAATATATATATATATATATATATATATATATATATATATATATATATCTGCGTTAGCTTTTTTCATCTTTTAATTTTCATCTTTTTATGTGTACAAGTAACATTTATTCATATTGATATGGGAATATTAGCCTTTGTAACACTCAGTATTGGACTGAAGAGAAAATCAATGGTATCACCCGTCCCTAACAACCAGGTGCATTAGCAATAGACTGAAATGAACCTCTGCAGGACTGCAGATCTCCAGGATCAGAGTTGAGCTTGAGAGCATTTCAGCACAGCCTTACGAGTCTAAACTCACAGGAATTCACAGAAGCTACTCATGAAGACTTACAGTCAGGGTGAGGATAGTTTAGCTTTTAAATGTCTAAAAACAAACAGAACCTCTCGCTATAATCAATACTAATTATCCATATTTGGTGTGTAGCATCCAAAAGTTGCCAGTCTGTCCCCGGTTCTCTAAAAGCAAAGCGGCCTAAAGATCACTGTAGAACGTCAGAGGAAATATTGTGGAACAGTTCAAGACAATTTAACGCTGAAAACTTGTTTAACAGATATTTTAGTCTTTAAAAAAAGCAGTAGAAAAAAGAATAACGTAAACAGAAATAGTCACACAGTGCATTTTTAATTCATAGTAAATGATATTTCAATCAAACCAACAGAAATTCTTCCAACAGAAATTATTCTTTGGGAAAAAGGTAGAAAAAGGGAATCTGTTAAACGAGTTTTAAATGTAGGGTCTTAACCCCTGAAACTATATACACTTAAAAAGATGGTGCTTTAAGGGTTCTTTAGTAAAGAAAATGGTTCTGTATAGAACCATGAACACCCAAAGAACCCTGATTAAAGGGTTCTTTGCATCACAAGAGTTCTTCAGATTGATGGAAAATGTGCATGAATGTGCTGTAGATGGTTCTATATAAAACCTTTTTTGAAAAGCGTTCTATATAGCACCCAAGGGTTCTTCTATTTTATAAGCTTGACATCGTAACAATAGAAGAACACTTTTGGGTGCTATAAAGAACGATTTTCAAAAAGGTTCTATAAGGGTTCAAAAACCTTTTCTATCAGTCTCAAAAACCCTTTCATGATTTGCATGATTAAAGGGTTCTGTGAGTGTTCATGGTTCTATATAGAACCATTTTATTTACTAAGGAACCCTTGAAGCACCATCTTTGTTAAGAGTGTAGGCTTATTTTGCAGTAATCAACATAAAAGCTTAGTATCCTGTATGAATTACTGAGTAATTACTATGTAACTAATATTGACATTTTAATATATTTATGTAGAGAATTAATCCAAAGTCAGGAAACATCCACAACAGTAGATGTCTGGGGGTGGTGGGCTGGGGGGGCGATCAGGGCCCCCAAGCCACCAGTGAGCACTATGAGTTCACTCCTGAAAAAGATGGTTCTTCAATGGTTCTTTGGCAAAGTAAATGGCTCTATATAGAACTACGAACACTCAAAGAACTCTTTGTATCATGAAAGGGTTCTTCAGAATGTGCTGTAAATGTTTCCATATAGAACCTTTCTGAAAATGGTTCTATATGGCACCAAAAAGAGTTCTTCTTGTAACAATAGAAGATCCCTTTCAGATGCTATATAGAAACCCTTTATTGTTGATGGTTCTTTATTGAACCATCTACAGGACATTTTGAAGAACGCTTCCATGATACAAAGAGTTCTTTGAGTGTTCGTAGTTCTATATAGAGCCATTTACTTTGCTAAAGAACCATTGAAGCACCATCTTTTAAGAGTGTATGTATGTTTTTTTTTCCTTTTTGAGATCAAAATGTATGGAATATTAATTTGCTTTTCGTTCTTGAATACAGAATGATATGACTGGGGTGGTGATGTTGCTTAAGGCCAACAGATGTCCAGAAATGACCCTGAGAGTAAACTGCGTCCTAGACACACCCACTGGACCAACACAATTAAGCAACATTAACAGCCTCTGACAGACATTTAGGTGGTTCCTGACTATTGACTCGTGATGAGATGTAGTGAGACTGACCAGTTGAAGTGTGGACAGACATACTGACCCTCAGAGTTTGAGGGGTTAAAATAGACAACAGTGGTGAGAAACCAGGTCCCGCTAAGCTCATTTTCCCTGCAGTGCTGTTCCTGATGATACCCGTTTCTTCACTGGACTGGTCAGTGAGTGTTAGACGTAGTTGGCAGAGGGGTTGGGCTGGCTGGTACGGGCAGGTGGGTAACGTGGCGCTGCTCCACCTCCAGAACTTTTACTTCCACAGTTACAGCACAGCAGACTGCCCCCGATAACGGCCAGCGCGGACGCTCCCCAGCCGATATACAGGGCCTTGCCGAACTCATACCTGCAACGAGCAACAACAACGTTCAGCTCTCAGTCCTTTAACAAGGCTTTTAATCATATAGCACCCAGTCACCCATCCAGAGTACACCTGAACCAGCTCGGAACTACACTCTTCAAAGGGTCCTACGCGGTTCTTGGCTTGGAATTGCGGTTCTAGGAAAAACTTATTTATTCATCTACTTACAATTTTTAGACTTATTCTTAAACGAAAGTTATTTTAAGCATTAATAAGATTTTTCACACTTAAATATCTAATTAACAAAACAATTCTTAACAAAAATAAGGTTCTTCAGGGAACCAAAAGTGGTTCTTCTTTTTTGGGACCTTTATTTTTAAGAATGTAGGTTAAATCCCATCAGCTAATAAGCTTTATATTCACATGGGAGAATGAAATGATGAAAATATACACCGACTGGCCACTTCAGTAAGTACACCTACCTTATATCTACACTTACTGTCCATTTTATCAGCTCCACTTACTATATAGGAGCACTTTGTAGTTCTACACAACACCACGTCGGTGTTACTGCAGTGCTGAGAATGATCCACCACCCAAATAGTACCTGCTCTGTCAGGGTCCATGGGGGTCCTGACCACTGAAGAACAGGGTAAAAGGGGGCTAACAAAGTATGCAGAGAAACAGATGGACTACAGTCTGCAACTGTAGAACTACAAAGTGCTCCTATATAGTAAGTGGAGCCGATAATGGACAGTGAGTGTAAATACGAGGAGGTGTACTTACTGAAGTGGCCAGTTGGTGTATAACATAATAGAGACAGTCATATATTGAACTAGGAACAATGTGCCTTCAATTAAAGCACTGAAATGATAGCAGAACTTCAAAATCTCAACAAGCCGCTCACCTTCCATTAGTCGGGGTAAAAGGATTGAAGAACTGTCGTCTGATGTTGTCGCCGTACCAGATAGTGGCAACAAAGGCTAAGACACCTGCAGAAAGACCGAAATTCAGCTAATGCATCCATTCTTCACAACAAGCATTACAAAACTCATCACCAGGACTGTATCACTGTAATAATCATGCCAATCATGAACAGTAAGACTTGTCCTGTCCCCATTGGCTTCTATTGGCTTCCTGAACTATATCCAGTTTTATTCCAAAACATCTTATACAACTACAAGAATAAAAACATGCCCTGTGGTTTTTGTATGAATTGGCTTTTAATAGCTTGATTAAAAGAAGCCACATTAAGCCACTTTAGCTTCAGTTCTCCAGGAGGAAAGTGGAAGAGGGAAGAGGGAGGGAAGTGGAAGGGGGAGGGTAGTGGAAGAGGGAGGGAAGTGTAAAGCGATGACGTACAGAAACGCAGACCCACATTCAAACAACAGCAGAGCAGCCTCAGACAAGTTTACACACATTCTTCTTTAACAGCTCTTACCATAAAATGTGCACATTTTATCTCTGCACTGCAAAAAATATGTCTTAACAAGAGAAATCTTCTTAAATCTTGTTTAAATATCTAATATGTTAGATATGTATGGGTTGTATGAAAAATATAAGATTAGTAAACTTATTTCTGGATGTTTTTTACTTGTTTAAAGTGGTTTCACTGAGCAAAATTACCTCAGTTTTTACTTGTTTCAAGCAATTTTTAAAAAAAAATTACTTAAAAAAAACTGCCTGATATCAGAGACATTGTTTTGCGGTAGTTTTGAGAAGATTTCAGCCTTAAACGGTGGAGGGATACATAATATGCATGGCATTGTGAGGCAAAATAGTCCCCGAAGGAAACTTAATATTTCAGATTCATCACTATTCGACCATCATCAACATTCCATATAAAGCTTAGAAGACATGTCTAGGTTCACTAGGGGTTTTGGATGGAAAATAAAATGGCTATATCTGTGTTGTAGTCATGGTTACCCCTGGTTCCCATCACCACCACTGTAAAGAAATCTGAACCATTTCACACCAAACCACTCTGGATGACCCCATTAACATCTCAACCACTGAACTTTGCAGAAATTCAAATTCCCATTTTTTATTTTACTTTAAAACAAGACTCAAAACACATAGAAAATGTCTGGAAATAGGTTAATTAATCTTATAATAAGCTTACAGCAATCTCAACGTGAGAAATATTAGATATATCGACTAGATTTAAGATCATTTCACTTTCCAAGACACCATTTTTTGCAGTGTACGGCAGGTTTATAAGACAGGTTTCTGAAAGCAGTCCTGATCTATGCCTCATGGAAACTTATGGGAGGCCATTATTACAGTCTTATTACAGAAGCACACATTTCCTCCAGTATCCTTTTATAACATGGTGTAAACTGAAAAGAGTATGTTTTTATGAGAAAGTGAACAATAAAAGAATGATTAAAGGATAAAAACAATTTAATCTTGTTACTGGTACAGTTTGTAAAAAGAGATTCTGCTGTGCTGTTCTGATTATCTTATGATCTTAGAGCAGTTGTGGAAGAGAGTGTCTCTGCCCACCTGCGATGATGAAGATCACCCCTCCGCCCAGAGCCACTTTGTTTTTGAGCTCCGGGCTGTCAGCCAGGCACGTAGTGCACTGCATGCCCACAGCAGCCACCAGGATGGCGATGGCACACAGAAGGATCCCTGACAACATGAAGCCTCGGGCAGCCTGTATCTCCACTGCAGGAGAGAAAGAGGAGAAACAAGGCTTTAATTTGAGTTATTTCAACCCTGTGTCGTTTAATAATAAATACATATACAACAATAACCAACCAGAAACGTTTACACAAAAAATATCTATTTTATCTATCTATCTATCTGTGTGTCTGTCTGTCTATCTATCTATCTATCTATCTATCTATCTATCTATTTGTGCGTCTGTCTGTCTATCAATCAATCAATCTATCTATCTATCTGTGTGTCTATCTATCTATCTGTGTGTCTATCTATCTATCTATCTATCTATATATCTATCTATCTATCTATCTATCCGTCTATCTATTTGTGTGTCTGTCTATCTATTTGTGTGTCTATCTATCTATTTGTCTGTCTGTCTGTCTATCTATCTGTGTGTCTGTCTGTCTGTCTATCTATCTATCTATCTATCTATGTATCTATCTATCTGTCTGTCTATCTATTTGTCTGTCTGTCTGTCTATCTATCTATCTATCTATCTATCTATCTATCTATCTATCTATCTATCTATCTATCTATCTATCTATCTATCTATCCACCCACCCACTATATGTGGTCATTTGGTCAGATTGTGCCCCTCTATGATGGTCAGTGCACTCCAGTATATGTGACTATGTGCCAAAAGGTTTCAGTTTACAACTCTAGAATGAAGCTCCCTGAGTTTCCAGGTTAAGGCTTCAGTCTAGAGTGGGTGTAACTCTCAGGCCACTTTACAGTTTCACAACCACAGACCGTTTCAAATAAACCTCCTCCCCCCATAACATCTACACTACTATAGTGAACATGATCTCTAGTGAACTCAGAGTTAGTCACAGGGAGCTGGTCTGGCAGTCAGTCACTGGGGTTTTAAAGTGCATTAGAAAAAGTTGTATCTAATTTTGTTGAACTAATGATACGACTTGCCTTTAAATTAACAAACTGACCACAAAGCCACTTCTAGCAAGCCTAACTTTGAGTTTGAGGCATCTTTGTTTCGTGTTTTTGTCCTAAACAAAAAATATTTAATTCATACTGTTTCCTACTGATAGATTTGCTGCTGTTTTTGGGCTCAGTGAGACTTTCTACTCTGCTAAACATCAGCTCAGGAATTCGAGGCATTGGCCGAACTTGTCTCAGCCCGCATGATGAGAAAGAAGAGAGGGAGTCGAGTTCCTTTAAGGTGGTTTGTAGAAAAACATGCGGGAAGAGCTTGCAGTATCCATATAAAGAGATATTATTACATAGGTTATGATTTGTGCATTTTAATATGCTTTTCATAACAGTTATAACTTCTCAAACTGCCGAAATGAAATGTTTAACCATGTAGGCCAATTGCAAATATCTAACGTAACAATGAACTGGCAAACATGTAATAATAATTCTAAGCAGCAGAAGATACATGAAGAGAAAGTAGCTAATTAAAAACTACTTTTTGGATACAATACTTTGTTTATTGAGACATTCATCCAAATTTGAACTCGATTTGATAATGTCTTTAAATTATAAATTCCAAAAGCAAACAAACAAACTGAACTTACTTGGCAGTTGTAGCAATGAGTCGTAGACTTTACACTGTAATTGACCAGTACTCTGGTACACACATGACTGCCACAGTCCTTCGTACACAGCCTGTGCTGTGATGATGTTGTCCCCGGCATAAGACGACATCTTCCATTCCGTCATGGTCGTGGAGGTTATTAAACCTACAAATCCTAAAAAAGCCAAAATATATCCGAGAAGCTGAAGCCCAGAATTGGCCATCTGGTCTAAAGTTCGAAGTCTCCCAGAAAAGAGAAGAAATCAAAGAGGAAAGTCCTGTTAGGTGTTTGGCAGACCTGCGGGAGAGGGACTGCTGTCTGAATGACTGCCAACTGTTCAGCACTCTACTTGAGCATCCTCTCACCTTTTGGGGTGGGCCCACGTCCTACACCCATACAACTTGTGTTCTGTCGCCACCTTGCGGTCATTTCTAGAATGGAACATATCATGGAACAGTAGTTATTCGAGGTTAAAAATTGAAATGAGGTCAAGCTCTGGTCCTGGAATGGGCTGCACCAGTTTAGAACCAGTCCATAAATAATATTTCCTTGCGACGACTGAATGTGCAGTTTAACTGACACAACAGTATAGGAGTTAAAACCCCACCTCTCCCCGGGGGAGAGGGGGCATCGTGAGTTTGATCCTACAGCTATCCGTGTCCCAAGAGACCATGATTGGCCCCTCTCTGTCTCTGGGTGGCTGGGGAGGTCCTCCCTCTCCCCATCACCCATGCAAGACAGTGCAGATGTCTGTAATGTGATGGCAGGAGGCCTAGCTAGTGGGTGCAACTTGAGGTGACAATAGTGGGGGAAATTTGGTAAAAATGAAAAATAAAACCCAACAAAAACAAACAAATAATTAGAAAAAGAAGGGACATGTACCTTATAGGGCTGCTAAGTGCACAGTTACATATCATAGACCTTATGTTGAGACAGATCTACTACGTAAAAATCAAAAATATCCAAGCAAGACCAGGCCTGTGGTCACCAGCTAGCGACAGATCATTGTCAGGCCCCTCCAAAACTTAACAACAACACATAAGAAACATAGTGTCACTGTTGGAACAAAAACCTTTTATCTCCATTTTTATACTTTTTTTTTATTTAATATGAATACACCAGCTGCCTTTTAAATTGTGGACAAATTTCATAAATAGACCAATAAGAATTGCTTGAAATTACTTACCTTATTATTATTATCTTATCTTAAGCAATCTCATTACTGTATATTCAACTAAACTGGCACGCAGTGGGTAGCACTGTCAGCTCACAGCAGGGAGGGCCTGGGTTTGAATCTCCGGCCGGGCAACCAGGATCCCTTCTGTGTGGAGTTTGCATGTTCTCCAGGTTTCTGCGTGGATTTCCTCCCACAGCCCAAAGACATGCAGTCAGCCAAATTTAAGATGCTAAGTTGACCCTAGGTGTGAATGTATATAAATGTGTGTCTGCCCTGTGATGGACTGCCGGCCTGTCCAGGGTGCTTCCTGCCTTATGCCCAATGACCGCTGGGTTAGACTCCAGCAACCCAGGAGGATAAGTGGCTTAGATAGTGTGTGTATAAAGTAACCGTTTAAAGGTATGACCTTTTCTTCCGACAGCGACTATATGCACCGAAGAACAAACACTAATGTCACACATCATCTAAAACGTCGAATTTGAAAAGCAAATCCCATGAATCTATAATAACACAGAACCTGAGAACAAATTCTGGATTTATTTCATTCATTTTCTATGACTATTTGTTCATCTCATGTTTTTTTCTGCAGTGGATTACCCCAAGTATTTCAGTCATCTCAAGACTTGGGTCTGAGGCCCCCAGCAGTCAGAGGCCCCTGAGCACTGGCCCTCACCGGCTCAGCCAGAATCCATCCCTGCCCCCAGCACACATTAATTAGGTGTTGCTAATGAAGTGACATGTCAGTGTAGACTATAATAGCGAGACTTGCTCTATTGATTAGTAACATGAGAGGAACTACAAACACAGTTCCTTCACAACAACACAAATAAACCCTTCTAATAATCAAACGCTACATTCTGCATGTGTTTGACTTTGAAAGAGTTGAACTGGGTAAACTATTTTGCAACGTCTTACCGTCAAGCGGTGTGATGTCAGGGAGTGAATGACCAATAGCAAATATGTTACTTTTGCAAAGCAAGCAAAAACACAGCTTTGTTGTTCGAGCTGCTGAGAAACCTCAAAGCTTCACATTCCCTGATTTCTACATACAGTGAATTCATAACATGCAGGTAAGTAATGTACATATTTCTCTGAATGATTCTTCAGAAAACTGAGCATTTAATCTTTAATCTGGATGATTAATCTGGAGCTTTTAGGATGATACATTTTAAATATTTAGGATCTTATAGTTGATGTATTGAGGAGTTCCATAATGAAACTACATAATATATATATATATATTTATAGTTTGATGAGATGGTTAATGTTTGACAGTTATTGCTTGGACTGTTTTTTTTCTGTGGAATTCTACTACAGTAATCTGATCTGGCTTTGTCTAATACTAATAGACATATAGCTTAACGGTGCTTAGTGGGTACAACTTTCATAATTTAACCAATTTAATAAAAGATACTTGAGTAAATCGATGTATCATCCTAGGACCTGCACCTTTTTGTTTAGTGCATTATTGAATTTCTCTTTGCTTCTTGTAACTTCTAGCACTGGCTAACTATGCAATTTTTACTCCATTTCATCCATTATCGGTGCTGGGGTGCCACCCTAACAATATATAACTATTTCTCAGGTTGTGCACTGCAGCAGTGCAGAACAATACTGGCTCTGGATGCTGAAAACCCCCTTGACCAATTGAGTGGCTGTTGTTAGGCAAAATTACCTCCTGATTTAAAATATTTGACCAATTTTTTTTTCCTACTGAAAGTTTCAACTAATGCAAGACAGCTTCCAAATAAAGTTGAAGGGCTAATTTTAAATCTGTTTGAGATAACTGGTGTTGCAAAATGAGTCAAGTGGGGATAATTCATGTTAAATTAGAATAAAGGCCTGTTTGGTGAGGATCCCCAAAGACCCTTGATAATGTTATACTACAATATTTTCACGTTTATAGTCTAAAAAATGTTTCTGCACGTATTGAATATTCTGGTTGTTATGATCTTTCAGCTCTGTGTATATTGGCAATCGGTGTATATTGGTGTATATTAGTGTCAGATGCTCTGCTAATTGTGACAGGGTTCTGCAGGGTCTTGTGTTGTTTATCTCTAGACTGATGTGCTTGATGCTGATGTATGTGCTGTCCAGCTGTTTTGTCATGTGTTTGTGTCGTATGCACCTCATGAACCTGGCTTACAACTCACACTCATAGTTTAACAGGCTGAAAGTTCTCAGGAAGTTAGAACTATTAGTATTCAAGGAGCCTCTGTGTGCATCTGTGAATGGAGAAACTTCATTTCATACAATATATCTCTGCTGTTGACATAATTTGAAAATACCTACTCTCCTTTATATTGTGTGTAAATTACAAGATGAATGGGCCAAAAGAAATGGCCCAGAATTACTTTGAAAAACGTCTGGTTCCATTGACTTACATTAAAAGCAAAGTAGGTTTTTTCCTTCTCCTGTAAAGTTACCATTTTGGAGATACAAGGTTTTGGTCCGACAGCAGCGATATGCACAGTGTTAATATCATTTTACGCAACATAACATAAACTAAAATCCAAAACCATCATAAAGTGACTTGTAAAATATGGTATTTTCAGCTACTATCTGTTTGCTGTGCTATGACAATGCATACATTTTATAAGAACATAGTCCCACTGTCCTCATACGAGTACTACATGTTTAATGTTGGCTCATAAACATCACTTAAACGCATCAAATTCAACAAAACAGACTAATGTCAACCTCAAGACATGATGATGTTGTGAACACTGCCTTTATTCGTATGCTAATCTGTCTCTTGTCTTCCCAGGGGACAGTGATCAGTGGATATGCTGTTGCTTTTCTTCTCCTGGTCCAGCTTGGCTACCACAGTGCCTCGCGCAGTCCCAGTACCTGCTGCCCTGCTCCATGCCAGTGTTTCTCTGTGACAACCATGATTTGCTCGGATGATCGAATGATGGCCATACCTGTGGACATCCCCTCACGGGTGAAAACTCTAATTATTGTGGCATCTGGCATGGGAGCAGTCACCTTCAGAGAATTTCCCCAACTGACCAAGCTTGTGCTCCTCAACAACCCGATTCACATGATTTCAACCCTTGCCTTTGATGGACTGGTCAGTCTGAAGGAACTGGAGATCAGTGGGAGCCCTCTCACCAGCATAGAAGTTGGGACATTCCAGAAGCTGGCCAACCTCACCAAACTTCTCCTCAACAACAACAAGTTAAGATACTTAGCGCCAGGCATTTTTGACTTCCAGCAGAAGCTGGAGAAGCTGCACATGAAAGGAAACTCCCTTAGGTTTGTATCTGGCACTGTATTCCGCAACCTCTACAACCTCCGTGAGCTTGACCTGTCCCTCAACTGTCTTGATTCAATAGACGCGGACCACTTCAGTCTGCTGAGTAAGCTGAAGACATTGGATTTGGACTTGAACAAGATTTCTTCTCTGTCTCCTTATTCCTTTAGTGGTAACCCCCAGCTAAAAACACTCTCCCTGCAGGGCAACCAGATCGCCTGGCTCCCTCAAGAAATGTTTGCCCACTTAAACAACTTGGAGGAACTGAATCTCAAAGACAACAGGATTGCAGAGCTGAGTGCTGGAATGTTGCCCTCCTCGCTGAAGAAGCTCACGCTCAAAGGAAACGGCCTGGCCCAGCTCTCCTCAAGCACATTTGGAGGCCTTCAGCATCTGACTGACCTGGACTTGTCCCAGAACCAGCTATCCATTCTTCCTGCAGAGCTATTCCAAAATCTTACCTCCTTACAGCATCTCGACATGTCCGAGAACCAGCTTATAATGCTACCTGCTACCATCTTCAGAGGACTATTCCTGATCAGAGTAATTCTCTTGCAGGTAAACAATCTAGACTCACTAGAGGCCGATCTATTCAAGGATCAGGAAATGATATCCAAGCTTTATCTCTCTGGGAACAGTCTGCAAAGCGTGCCGGATGGCTTTTTTGACCCCTTAGACTTCCAGGGTTTGGTGCAGCTCCATGGAAACCCCTGGCACTGCGACTGTGACCTGCAGTACCTCCATGAATGGCTGAATTACAGCAGCAACTCTATGGAGGATCTGAGTCAAATTCATTGCGCTAGTCCTGAGCCTCTCAAAGGAATGAGCCTGACCTCGCTGGACAAGGAACAGCTTGTTTGTGTAAACAGCTCCAAATTTATGTCGCAACATATGATTGACTCCACCAGACCATCCGATACCATAAAAATGACCTCTACCACGAAACAGTGCACTCTCCAAGCAATCAACGGCACCATTGCCATTAAATGCCAGCTTATGGAATGTCCAGCCTTCAAGTTTGAGACACATTTTGAACACCTGAATGGGAATTATAGTTACATCAGCAGAAAAACATTTCCAGAATTCGCTCAATGCTCAAATGTGACTGTAACACTGACTGTTTAATGTTACTAATAAATAGTATATACAGAATTTCAGGTTAGCAAAGATATAAAATTGAAGCACAAGCCTGACACATAGTGCAACTTTGAGACCCGACCCAAGCAGGCTCGAGTGGTACAGCTAAATAAGAAACTCAAACCCCAACCCAACCTGAACCACCACTAACAGAGATTGATTATCACAGATATAGTTTTACTATGCTTTGCTGTGTTACTGTGAGCTTGAGTTCAATAGAGATCGATAGAAAATGAACTAAAAAAAACACACAGTTCTTTGCAAAGGGAGTTCTTTGAAATTTTGCTGTTGTTGACACTGACTTGAGTGATGCGAGGAAGAACCTGACAATGACATTTGTTTCCGGCTGGTGGCTGCTGTGAAATCCTTGCATCCATGGTAAACACGTTGCTCAAGAGACAATGGGCCTCATTACCCAATATCTTCCTTCGTTTGTTCTTAAATGTGTTCTTGAGAAAGGTCCTAATAAAAGGTCTACGTCAGATTCATGACGTGTTCTTAAACCAGAGAATTGTTCTCACCTTTGTGCTCTTGAGAGTGTAGATTCTGTTCATACCTAAAAACAAATCCCAAATAAGAAAACACTGGAGAATGTCAGTCTTCATAAAAACCGTATGTAAAAGTGGATTTTAAGAAGAAATTTCTTCTTAAGAATGGTTGCTGAATAAGGCCCAATGTCCCAGTTCTCCTGCTATCATAGCTCAAAATAGTGTCACAAGCTCTACATGATACAGTGCTGGGGTAGTTACTCCAGAAATGTAATCCATTACAAGTTACTCATTACTTCCCTCAAACTGTAATAGGAGTTACTTTACTTATTACTTCCTGAAAAAGGTAATCTCATTACTCTTTACTGTATCATGTTACTCTGTAAAACCAGTACAATAACAGCAGAAAAACAGCAGTAGTCCTTTCAGTACCTATAAGCTTATAAATTGTTTAAAAGGTCTGTCACTATCTTTGCTTATGAACAAGAAATGGTCAGTTATCCTGATTAAAATTATGAACTGATGATGTTTGAAAGCCTAAAACAGTTCAAAAGCAGCTGCCTGGAGATGAAATCTTTATGAATAAAATGTAAAGCTAATAGAGCTGTTTCTGAATAAAGGTACAGGTAAATCTACAGTCAGGTCCATAATTATTTGGTACAGTGTACCAGAGCATATTGGAGTTGAAACTGGAAAATGGAAATGAGATCAAAGTGCAGACTTTCAGCTCTAATTCCAGGGTATTTGGATCCAAATCAGACAACTGTGTTTTAATTACAAGCACTTTCATACATACCACCCACCCCCCATTTTTAGGGGCTCAAAAGTAATTGTATGAACTAATATTACAAGACAAATTATCATTTTCAATGCTTGGTTGTAAATCATTTGCAGTCAATGACTGCCTGAAGTCTGGAACTCATAGACATCAACAGTCACTGTGCCCTCCAGCATGTTGACGGTGCTTCACAGTGCAGATGGACATTGGGCCTCATTCACCAAGCATTCTTAAGAGGAAATTTCTTCTTAAAAACCCACTCACGCAGTTTTCATGAAGATTCTGACATTCACCAGTGTCTTCTTATTTGGGATTTGTTCTTAGGTACACTCTCAGAAAAAGGTACTAAACTGTCACTGGGGCAGTTTCCCTCTTGTCACTGGGGGGGGACCCTCAAGGGTACATCTCAGTACCTTTAGTCAAGGAACATAATTGTACCATAATGTCATTTTATGTCATTTTCCATTGAGAAAAACATATTTAAGGTTCACAGTTGGACCTTAAAACCACTGTTGTACCTTTGAGGGAACATTTACATTGTTTGTACCGTGATGAATGAAATATGTACCTGCACAGAACCTTTATTTCTAACAGGGTAAGAACAGGATCTACACACACTCTAGAGCACAAAGGTGCGAACAGCTCTGAGGTTTAAGAACACGTCATGAATCTGACGTAGACTTTTTATTAGGATCTTTCTCAAGAACACATTTAAGAAAAAACTTCGGAAGATATTGGAGAATGAGGCCCAGTCACCCAAAGTGTACTGCGAAAGCAATCCAAGACTTTTTTAAGGCAAAGAAGTGGAATGGTCTGCAATGGCCAAGCCAATCACCTGATCTTAATACAACTGAGCATCCATCTCAATGACCGAAGGCAAAACTGAAGGTCAAGCGTGAACTGAAGACAGCTACAGTAAAGGCCTGGCAGAGCATCGCCAGGGAAAAAACCCAGTGTCGGGTGATGTCTATGAGTTCTAGGCTTCAGGAAGTCATTTGACGTCAAAGGATTCGCAACCAAGTACTAAAAATGACTATTTAGCTTATTATTATGTTAGTTATATTAATTTTGAGCCCATACAAATGAAAAGGAGGGTGGGGGGAACTAAGACATGGATGTAAAAACTCTTAAATTAAAGCTTATATTCATTGATTCCAGCTCCAATATGCAGACAGCTAAAATAACAATAACTTTGTCCACATTGAGGGTTTATTAATATTGCTCTCTTAGAGACATCTGAACTCTGAGTCTCAGATTTCAGTGCAGGAGACCACTGAAATAAGAAAACAGTTTCACATACACAAGCAGATTATCCTCGTTAGTCTCTGGTCTACAGACCGTCTGACCGTCAGGAGAAATCTCTAACCACGCGGCTGATAAGGGAGGTAGATGCCCTGCAAAGTTCAAAGTACAACCAGCACTTCAAACAACAGTGTAACGCACCAACACACAACCACGTGTTGTTTCTGTTGAATCTTAACTCTTTACTGCTCGGTGTTGCTGTATTGCAACAAGTACTTTCTTCTCACTTTTGGCTTAAATACACTTCAAAAGTAGACTTTTTTTTGTTTTCGTTTGGAAATAGTATATTTTTGTGATCATATAATGCTGCAGTCTTTTTCTTTCTCAAAAGTCTCAAAGTGTGTATATAATTCGGTATTTATACAGCACTGTGCAAAAGTCAGGGACCTTCATTTATTTAATTTCTAGCTATAATGGTCATTAAGTAAGTGAATGTAAGTGAAAAAACAGGAGTAAAGATCTAGAGAAAATGGGATTCCTAACAACCAAAGACAACTAAAACAGCCCCCATCAGATAAACAGCACTTAAAGCTTTCATCTTTGAGAGAGAGGAGAAAATCAAGCTGCTTCAGATCTGAAAACATCCACAGGTGTTTCTGTCCATCCTTCCACTGTGAGAAGACGACTCAGCACTATGGGTCTGAAAGGATGTGTAGCTGTCAAGAAGAACCTCACTGCACTGTAAAAATGATTCAATGTTTTTAACTAATTCAATGTTACTTACTTTGTTAGGCTTAAACGACTGAATTATATTTTACAGTGTTAGAAAAGTAAACATTTGCAAATCAAACAAAGAAGCTGATGGTGCTCTCAGAACAATGGACTGACCACCCCAGAGTCCAGACCTCAACATCACTGAATGAGTTTGATTACTTGGATCATGAGAAGCAGAAAATACAACCAACTTCTTACACTGAACTTTGGAAAAAAAAACATACCTGCCGATTTATTTCAAAGTGAGTCTCCTGAAAAGAATGGAAGCTTTTATAAAGGCAAAGGGTGAACACACTAAATAATGAAAAAAAAAATATATATATATTTAGTTGTTCAGGGTAATTTAACCTGTTAAATATATGACTTTGTTGTTGTTGTTGTTTTTTTTCTGATGCTGAAAAATAAATAACTTAATGGCCATTTTGACTGAAAATAAATAACTGAATTGAAGAATTTCCATATTTTTAAAAAGTATTATAATTATTATTTTCATGACTTTCTGTATTCTAAAAACATTTATGCATGGATGACCACTATGCACATTCTTTTTACCTGCTGGGGTGACGAATGTGGCTGTGTCTTGTGGTGGTATACTGGTTTACTCTCATTGCATGTATTACAGAATGCAGTTCCATTATTGTGTGTTGTTGCCTTTGTTGGCAACAAAATAAAAAGTACCCCTCATTAATGTTTTTCAAAATGTTTTTAGATGTACATTAATTATACCCTTAAAAAAAGAAATATTATGAAAGCATATTTTTTCTAGTGTATTTCATATTTTATGCAATAAAGGGGCCTTTGGACCTTCATTTCTTTGCATAAACGAATGGTGTAGGTAAAAATGTATTGAAATAAAACACGGAAATGTACTTAAACATAACGTCATGTATATTTGGCGGTGTATTGGTTTACTGTCATTTACAGTATACAGTATAACAGATTGCAGGTCCATTATTGCCTCATGGCAACAAAATAATAAGTACCCCTTATAAATATTTTTCCAAATGTTGTTAGATTTATATTAATTATGCCACAAGAAAATTATGAAAATGTGCTTTTTTCTAGCATATTTCATAACTTACACAGTAAAGAGGCCTTTGGACCCTCGTCCTTTTGCATAAATGAATGGTGTAGGTAAAAATGTGCTGATATAAGTAACAAAAATATTTAAAATTTATAAAAGCAGTGTTGTTTTTATAAAAACAACAAAACTGGGTAGCTTAATGCCCCTCAGATGGCCACTGAAGTCCTTTACAGCTGTGTCCACAAGTCTTTGTGGATGTTTGTAGTCTAGCTTGTACATCTGACCACAGTGCAGAGCTGAAGTTCACCCACAGAGGGTGCTGTTTGCTTGAGGTAAGCAATCTAGCCAAACAAAGTCTCTTGCTTTGAACAACTAACAAACCAAAAACCCTCTGATTAAAGAACAGAATTGTTTTGAAGCCTTACAGAACTTTCTGAAGTGCAGACCTCCATCCATCCATCCAGACATCCCTTCATGCTAAGAAGACCATCTCTCTTAGACCCACGTATATGCGAAAGGCAACTGTGTTTGACATTTAATATTATTCTACACAGAAAAAAGATAACGTACGCCTCTGTACATTAAAATGAGATCTTCTGGTTTGCCGTATTGATGTCCTCATGGTGGACTGATACAGTAGAAACTCTGACTGATATAGACGTTCCATTCAAAGGGCCCAGAGGATTGAAAACTGAGGTTGCCTTGTTTTTTTGAACCATGTTGTGTAAATACAGTGTGGAAACACTGGCGAAGGTTCAAAATGGACAGTTCACTCTCTCGACCACACAGTTCACATACAGAAACTAAGATGGCTCCTTTTAAATTGTTTTTATGATGTCACGAACAACAAGGCGTTTACAGTCACATGCAACAGTTTGAACAGCCCAGTCAAATGAAATGTTTTGTTGATTCTCTAAGTGAACATAAGTTAACACCTCTACACACATCCTCAGAAATAAAGGTACTAAACTGTCACTGGGGCAGTACCCCTCTTGTCACTGGGGTGGGACCCTCAACGGTACATCTCAGTACCTTTAGTCAGGGAACATAACTGTACCATAATCCATTGAAGTTATATTTTCTAAGCTGTACTGACTCCACACATCCCGTCTCGTCTTCAGGCTTTTATTTTACTGTTCTGTTTTAAAACATTCGATTATAAAAAAAGGTACAAATACAAACTTTTCACCTGGAAAAACCTATTTAAGGTACACAGTTGGACCTTAAAACCACTGTTGTACCTTTGAGGGAACATTTACATTGTTTGTACCTTTATAAATTAAAAATGTACCAGCACAAAACCTTTATTTGTAACTGTAGAACACACTTACAAAAGGCAATTGTCTGCAAATTGTAGTGCTATTCTATTGTTTCTATTGTTTTCTCTGAGTTTAACAGTTTAAAAATAAATCTAAAATATTAAATGTGCCATATTTTTTTGCACATTTTATGTTTTTTTCCCCCAATATGTTACATTCAGCAAATAAACAGTAATTGTGTATTAATATGTGCAGAAGTGTGTTCTCTGTAGAGGATGTGTCACTTATTTACACTAAGAAAATCAACAAAAACATGGAATTTGTCCCAAACTTTTCCATACAACTCTACATGTAACCTATTCTGCCCCACCCACTCACACTGAAGTTATAAGGAGTGCTTCATCCCGGACTGTTACTTGAATGAGTCACAACACAGAGGAGTCAATCAGAACAGAGCTAACTAACGGTACACAAACTAAGTAAGTGTTGATATGCTGAGAAATAAACACTAATATTGGAATAAATCCAAAAATATTAACACTATAAGTAGTGATTTATATGAAGTTATAAGGAGTGTTTCGTCCCAGACTGTTATTTGAATGAGTCACAACACAGGGCAGCCTATCAGAACAGAGCTAACTAACATATATGAAAAGTACACAAACTGCCTTTTCTAATAGGTCATATAAAAAAAAAATAATGAATTATGACGGCTTTGTTGCATAAAACTATACAAACGTCACAAGTGGGCAAAAATGAAACACACTGAAAAAATTAGGACATGGGCCGTTTCACTTTGGTCCAATCAGATTGAAGAAAAATGGCCTTTTATTCTTCTATATCAAGCTTGTTTTACTATTACCACTAAACGGAGCAGGTCGAACGTCAGTTTATGAGTAGTGTAGCTCTTAAAAACATCCCGATTGGGGTTTTAAGGCTTTAATCCTGCGCGTACTGAAAACACCACTAGTGTCAGTGACAGGAGAACAGAGTCGGCAGCCTTCAGTCTCAGTAAATGATTAAGCCAGACACTCCTTCAGCTATCAGACGCTGGCCACACAATGCCCTGTTACGTAACTCCGCATTCCTCCACGAGCTGAATACGAGGTACTTCAAGGCAGCCGTCCGGAGGTCCGGTGGCCATCAGCGTCTTTAAAAGACCATGACTCATCCCAGCATGGACGAGTGCCATGAAAAGAAAGTTCAGTCATTGTAGTTAAAAAAAAGTCAATTGCTCTCTGATGAAGCCTGCAATTAACCCATTTAGTCATTTGGTATCTGCGGCGTGTGATAAGTAATAATTCAGTCGCAACGTGCGTATTTTGCGGCGCAGGCTTTGGAGTGCGGTGACTCTGCCTCGTCGCATGTTTGCTCTAAAATTAAACACTTTCATGTGGGGTTTTACCAAGTCATGCACTCACTAACAGCACAATGCAGTAATTAAAGGGGAAATCCACTGATTTTCCTAAAATTCTGCATAATTCAAATGTTGCGATGTAAACAGAGTCATTCAGAGTGGTTTATGTGAAAAGCTGCATTCAAGAGAAACTTACAGTCAGAATTGTTCACAGTGGTGGTGACAGGAACCAGACGTCCACCTCTAAAAGCTCCCTAACAGAATGTTATTACATGAAACTGTTATGTATTTTAGGCAGAGTAGCCTAAAGTGTATGTGCACAATTTTAGGCACCTGAGAAAATTAGATTTAAAATGATGTTTATCTTGCCAGTACATGTTTATTTGCTCAGAAAAAAAACACAAATATTGGAATAAATCCAATAATATTAATACAATAAGTAGTGCTTTTATGTATATCAATGTGTCATGAATATCTAGTTTATCTAATTAATTATTTATTAAGTTAATCAAGTGTGCTAATGATCTTGTAATGAGAAAATCTTGTAACTTTATACTGTATTATGTTTATTTGCATTTATTGTGATGATATATCTTTTTTTTTAGCAGCAAAAACACACTTATCGGCAAGATAAATGGCTTGACATGATATAAATACAAGTTTTTAATTTTTTTTTAAAAAATCCATTCTTGGTTTAGGGATACATGCAGGGTGTTGTGAGGCAAAATAGCCCCCCCCAAAAATTATTTTTTCAAGTTTATCATTATTTTACCATCATCAGATCATCAGATCACATATCAAACTCAGAAGACACATTTAGGCTCACTGGTGGTTTAGGATGGTAAATAAAATGGCATATTTGTGCACATGCAGGACAGAATAGTCTCCAATTAATATTTTATTTTCAGATTTACCTCCAATTTACTGTAATTACAAGTACATATAAAAACCACTGTAAAGAAATTGAGTCTCTATCTCAACCATTTCACACCAAACCACTCCAAATGATCTTATTGAGTGAATTATGTGGAAATATTTGACAAATTGGTGGAATTTGTACCCCGAAGAAAAGCTTTTTGGCTGGTTTCGGTAATGACACAGCTCTTGTCAGAGGTGTAGCGATGGCATCGGTCTTGCCTTTTGTCCTGCTTTTGTTTTCATTCATTAAAAAAATGAAAACCCATCCGACAGTGCCGTCATTTCTGGAGTGCAGGCATGCGCCTTCCAGCAAGTATATTAAACCCCCTTCCCCCAAATCCCCAGCCTCGACCCCAAGTGCCGCCGCAGACAGGAGGGGGGCCGGGAGTGAGGGAGGGAGGTAGGTAGGGAGGGAAAAGGGGGAGAGAGAGAGACAGATGGAGAGAGGGAGAGGGAGAGAGAGGGAAAGGGAGGGATCAGAGGGGGAGGACTCATGCTAGGGCTTGTGGCGTCTCTCTCTCTGTCTCTCTCTGAGTTTTGAGAGAGCAGAGTTGACTCAAACCTCTGGATGAGGGACTGCAGCCCAGCAAGCCCAGCAAGGCTCAGGAGCAACACAAACCTGGACTGAAGTGAAGAGCCTGAAGCTCAGACAGGCAGACAGGCAGACAGACAGACAGAAGCTCAGCGTCTGCAGTGCAGTGGAACCCAGACTGGACTCTAATGGCCACAACTTTGCTCACTTCAGCATGACTGGATGTCTGGAAGTGGCCCTGGATCATCTCTCACTCTCCTCACAGTAGGCTGCAAAGGCAGAGGGACAAGAGGGACCACTTTGGAGCCAAAGAAATCAAAGGTAATTCCTCATTTTATCAAGTTAAGCGACTTACGTTGAAGTTCAAGGTTAAATCTAAACAGTTTAAACTCTTATTCTGTCTTTCTTGTCATCAACAAATGGATCTGCGAGTCGTATCTGTTTCTAATGAGTAAGAAAAGCAAGTAAGGTTAGTTTGAAAGCAGTAGGGAAAGGGGGTGGGACGAGTCTCATAGGGAGAGAGCTAGAGAGAGAGAGCAGAGCGTAGAGCCCATTCAGACTGGGAGTGAATGAACGCTGGTGTGTAGCGCTTAGCATTAGCATTAGCACTTAGCGTCGTTTTCTCTCTCTCTCTCTTTCTCTCTCTCTCTCTCTCTTTCTCTGAGGTAACTTACGCTGCTGCTGCTAATATGAAGCATATGCCAACCAAAGTATGTCACACCAGGCTGAAAAAGCTTCCTATTACCAAACTTCTTGTTCTAACTTTCCCGTTCCACCTTAAATGGTGCAGCAGTTACATTCTGTCGCCTCGGGCGACAGAATGTAACTGCTGCACCATTTAAGGTGGAGCGGAAAAATTCGAACAAGACGCCGGCGAAGAGGAAGCTTCGTTTCTGTCACAGCCAGACGACGAAATTATACGTTTTTTGTCCATGTTGTTGTTGTTGTTGTTGGTTAGCCGTCGTGCTAAAAGCACAGAGAAAAGAGGAAGAGCTGTTTCTTCTTTTGAGGAGATTATTTTGTTCTCTGGACTATTTTTAATGAGTGATGAGTTCAGACTAAGGTGTGTTTAACGCTAAAGACTCCTTAAAGGGCCCATATCCTACACTTCCCCCATATACTTGCTCATATTACTAATATTAATATTTATATAAGTATATGTGCTAAATCTATTTAACTGTGCCATTTTTGATCATTCAAATACATCCCAATATGCACATATGTGTCAGTATATTGAAATGTATGCACACCTGTATCTGAAATAATGGTAGAGCTGGGTGAAAGGGGAAAGCGCAACATCACGATACTTCAGGGAGTGTTTTATGATACACAGTATGTCATGATATTTATGTTTTCTGACATCTGATAAGAAAAGACAAAGTAGGGTCACATTGTGCTGCACTAAATCCGATTAG